CCGAATAGGGGACGATATTTCGGTAACCGAGAGTATTCCCTATTCAGTAATTACACTGTATATTATGTAGGAAGATGAATAAAAATGTCTCGAGTAAAAATTCCTTTTATAGAATTTGATAATAAGCTATAATTACAAACGGACTCTGGTGAATGATGATATGTCAGTCTTACTAATACAAATACGTCTTATTCGATGAATAGTACAGGTAGATTGGTTGGCATAATATACTATTATTTTTGTATGATACATATATATATAAACTATACAATAAATAATAATTCAGTGTAAAGTTCATTTCTAAAACTCTTCTCCCGCAACCCTACTGTAATTAAATGCCAGCCCTTTTATTTGGACATAAATCGATATCCTGCAAGCGCCGAAAACTGACACGTGCGTGACCTTTTACTCTCTTCTATATCAGCTCTTACCCGGCCAGATTATGGGTGGCAAGGAGTACGTATTGCCAGCCCACGTTGCTATGTAAAGATAATAAAGTGCTGTCAGTTTAACATTTTTGTGTACCTAATATATCATTTTTACGATGAAAGCTTATATTTTTATATAGCCCTGCAATAATGGAAAATATGATAATACATTAATATTATATTACTGCAATAGTGTGATAATAGTATACATCTGTATACTGACATACTATCGTGTTCAGTAATATCTACAATATTTTTTTACCGGAACGTGTTTTGAGTATATATTAATTAATTTTTCCTTAAAAGTCGAGCGTAGATAACACTGATGACAAGTACAACGATAATACTTGTAATTGTATTAAATATTTTTATCATTATTATAACTGTGGCCATTTGTTGATTTTTTAAAATTAATTATGTCAGATACATTTTAATGCGTAGGTTTATGAGACAGCGGTGTCATTTGAAATTTGGAATACGTAAAATTAATATTTGCATTCTTAAAATCCAACAAGATGTTAATTTAGCCTACGTTTTAAATTTTTAATAATGTATTTAAACATAATAAACTATTCTTATAATTTATTCAATATTTATATAAATCAGGGCCTGCATTTGAAAAAAAAATGTCGTTTTACTTTATTTACAATAATTAAAACGTTATTCAACTTTTGCGTTTATCGTTATTTAGAATTAAAATTTTTATTATATTTTATAATTTATTATATAAATAGTTGAAATTATTTTATTTTTTTTTTCAATGGTATACTTTATATATGATGATATATCATATATTTTGTTAATCGTTATGTTTTGTTTCGTGTTATTTAATTATCTATATGTTAATCGTTTTCCGTTATAATAACGTTTACAAATTTCAATCGTTTTTTGTCAAATATAACGTTATTATAACGTTTTCAAGCCCTGATATAATTAATATAATTATTCAATAAAATTTCGTCATATAATGCGGCGTATTGTGGTGTGAACGTATTATTATGTTCAATGGTTTATTTTATTTATCGTATGTTTAATGCTATGTTATTAAATAATAACTTTGTATGGTGTATTTTATAATGTATAACAAGTATTATTAAAACTTAAAATTAGTCATGAATTATTATCCAGCGAGACGGTAGTGGTGCGAGCTAAGCATTGGCGTATTTAGGTGGGATGAAGGGGGGCAATTGCCTGCGGGCGCTAAATTGTAAAGAGAGCACTGCGTGCTACAAAAGTAATATTATTAAGAAAAAATAAGATATTATTGTGCTAAGTTTATTTTATTATCATCGATGACCTTTTTATTTTAGGTAAACCATCGATGTGTAAATATTGATCAGCCTCCCCTTCCTCGAAATTTTTTTTAGGTGAAAAAAAGTGCGCCAAAATTGTAAATACGCCTTTGAAGCTAAGTAAAAAGAATAGCGTAGTAGCCACAAACTCATAATACTAAAAACCGAGTTGTATAACCATTGAAATATCATGCTAATTTTTGTTAATCCATCGGCCTATTCTACAGGGCAAACGACTGAACACATAAAGTCGTATAAGGTATCAATCGATCAGAAATATTGTGCTGATGGGAACAGAGGATCTCGCAAGCAGATAGGTTGGGTGGCTTAAAAGTTATAATTAAAAATGTTCAAGTACTTTTAAGACCGATTTTGCGTACGCAACGAAAATATCGTAAATTATCGTATTATGTTTTCCGATCCACCACTCATCCATTCCCATTACTTTCATTGCGGCGGTGGTGGCGACGACAACGACGACGATTAACGAATAATATAAGAAAAAAAAAACAATAATACTATTAAAAATAATGTAATATACATTTTATGTCCATTATTTAAATGATACAAATCCATATAAGATCTATGTAAAAGTCTAACAATTTTAACGCTATTACGATTTACATTATTCTGTTATAGTTGAACTCGTTATATCTATACGTTATTCACTAATTGTTATATATTTTTTATTTTTTTACAATTATTAAATAATTGTAAAAAAATAAATTATTATGATTGTTGGTAAAATTATTTAAATTATTATTTTTTTTTATAATAAAAGTTATATTCTGCAGCCTTTGATTTTTGGAGTATATAATATATAATATTAAATGAAAACATAACAAAAGGTATATATTTGATTCGTTTAATGCATAAGGTTCATGGAAAACGCGTACAAAAAAATAATATGACACTATAACTTACCGGACATGATAATTGTTTAAAACCGGTAGGGGCCAGGCTGTTACAACTATACTGTTAAATTGTACATTTGACTTGTATCCAGTACTATACCAATTACTCGGGCGGCCGGGCCCTCGATTTATCGTTGTCTAATTGTTTTTGTTACGCAATATCGGTTTCGTCCGAACGGTCAGCGATTCAGGTACCTGCTATAAAATGATTTACAACGATAGTCCACAAAAATAATGATAATAGACATATTATGTATAATTATATAAATTAATATTAATATAATATAATAATTTATACATTAAAATGTAATACAAAAATATATTATTCTAACTCATTTCATTTTATAAATAGTTTTAAAATAAATAAATAAATTTTATTTTATAAATGAAATGTTACCAAATAGATGCTAATATCTAAAAAAAAGTAAATATACAAAAAAAAAAAACAATACGATTATTGTAGGAATTTACCTAAATAACTTTATTCACTATAAATAAGAAATAATATAAGTATCTTTTCTTTTATTGAGTATGGCACACATAATTTTTAGCAATTAACTTATGTAATCTTTTACTTGATACTGTAGTGTAGGAATTGAATGCTTGTTCAAACATTTATTAAATCAAATTTTTTTAAATAAATTAGCAAAAAAAAAAAAAGGATTTGAAAAATTAATCTAACAACCATAAACTCTTAATTAATACTCCCGAAGAAATAGTTCAACAATTGCAATGGATTATAGAGATTACTCCCTCTTCTGAAAAATATTTATTATACATATCAATTAATGGATGTAAAATTAAATGCATTTATGCATATGCAACTAAAATTTATAACAGGAAGGGTATTTTTGAAATGCATGTTCGGCCGCTTGGAAATGGGCTACAATATACATTTTTTTTTTTTGAATGTAACGATTATTAAATCACTAAAATATTATATTTATATATCAATTAGAAGCGATGATTGGACCGTAATTTTTTTAAAAAAGCTCATGAACTAAACAAACTGTATTTCAAAATAATTTTATTTTAAAATTAAATTAAAAAATATAAAAGAAGGAAGATATTCAAATTTGAGTTTGGAAAATCTGTATAGGTTGTTTAAAAAAAAAATTATTTATTGCTTGATAAAGTTTTTGTATGTATGTAATTTTATATTTTTTGTCAATAAAAATAATTGTAATATGGACAATGGTATTAATGAGTTGGGTATTCGAGAGGGTGAATCTTAACATCCCAATTAAAATTCATTTAATTTATTGAATAAAAATCCATCGTTTTAAAATAACTGTGACTATTTTATTTTGTCAAGCTGTAATTGTTTTATTCATATTGAAATAAAGTACAATATAAACAAATTATGTGCTTAGAATAATAATTGTTGTTAATATGTATATAGTGTGAAGGTTCTAATGTTTTGAAATTGTTCACAGTTGTTTGTGCATCCCCTATAATGTTTTTATTTTATATATATTGTCATGGGACACGGATTAAATTGGAAACGATAGCGGCATCGGTTAAGGATGAAAGAAAGTGGTGGGAAGGGGGAGGATGTCGCCGCAGGTAGGGTGGCCCGGGCCATTATTTTGCAGGATCTGCGTGGGGCGTGCACCTGAAATAGTATGAATGCTGTCAAGGAGTATGTGCGGCGGAGCTGAACGCCACCTATACGTGTTTTTCGAACAAAACGGGCAGCGCTGGAAGCTCCTGCTGAGTCTTCGACATTGTTGCGCATTTCCTGCGGAATACTTCTCCAGTCAAGTCTAGCGAGTCGCGAGTCAGTTGTCCGGTCATAAGTTTTCGTCGTCGGTGCACCCTTTCTGTTTCGTACTTCTACTATTACTTCTATTACTATTATTAATCCTACTACTTCTACTACTACTATCACTTCTTTTGGAATACCGATACACACGGTCGCGGTTGGAGCTGTATACATTTTATTCGCGTACGGCTTTCGGTCCGCTTGTCATACCGTTCTTTATCCATCAACGTAAATATTACACCTGTAGGTAATATAAATAACACATAACGCGCCATCGCTTGTTGCTTTTTAACCAAATACCATTGTTTGCAGACGGTGCAGTGGTTACACTTTAAAACCGTATACATTTATACCTTCAACCAATTGGCAAGTAGGTACCTACCTAAATATTATTATTCATGTTTTAATGCTACTAATATCATCTAATACGTCTAATTAATGTGATTTTAATAGTATTACGTTCATCATACAATCGTAGTTGTCTGCAGAACCATTAATCCGGTGCAAAAAAAAATACGACGTAACGTTTGAATTAAAACAACGTTGAAATATCGTCGCTAGTTGGTCGTTGCGGGGTTGTTGCATAACAATACATCGGAAGATGGGCGATATCAACGAAACGATTTTAGCATTCAGACAGCGTGAAGAGCCGTCGGTGATGGTGATGTACAACAGAGCAAAGAAGCTCATTAAGATCTCAAATTATATGCCGTGTCGGGTACGATAGTTTTTACTACATCAATATATATATAAGTGAATTTTTATTATTAGTATTATTTAGCATTCTTAAAAGTTCATAATCTTAAGTCTGTGTGACCGTAGGAAAATATATTTTTTTGAATTTATCGTATACATTGATTATATTATTATATAAATTAATTCTAGTCGATGTTTAGATCCAATCGCATTTATAGCATTGGTATTTAATACATGGATACTTACGGCATTCTTATATTCATTAAACACCCGCTTTTAGTCAAGTATAACATTAAATGCTTTTTAATTATTAAACATATTTTGTATACATTAATACACAATTACACAAAAAGTTTCTGTGTTAAATGTTTAAATAATTGCATATTGATGAGCTATGAAACAACCTAACTATGAGTTATTATTAAAATATTTAAATTTATAGATTTTAAAATGTGCCTGCCGTGGATGGACCTGTGATGAGAAAATTAAACAACCACAGTTGAATACTCCATGTGCTCATAAAGATTGTAAACATGGATTATGTAAGTATCTATTATAATATTATATAAACATGTCATGATAAATTTTATTTTTTTTTTATCTTACACTTTTAACTATTACTCTGTTGTATAAATTATATAAAAGGTAGAGACAAATAAAGTAAAACATGATAAATACATTTTTAATACGAAAAAAATATTTAACTATTTATGTCAATTACAAAAAATAATTGAAGTATATATAACTTATGTTGTATACATATCACCTTCTAGCAAATTAACTGTACAATTCATTTAAAAAAAACATCAATTCAATATTTTAACATAAAGCAAACATGAAACAATTATTCCTAATTTTTAATGACATTATCAATAAGTGAATATCTATAAGGAATAGTAGGCAGAAGTAGTAACTGCACAAATCATATGCTAAAAAAATATAAAAATCGAGCTTATCGCATAAATGAAGTTTTCAAAATTATCAAAAATAGTGTCATTTGTATTTTGTTTAAAATTAACGCTTACTGCTATTTTGCGAATTGAAATATAATAAATAATAATATTGTATTATTTTATTATATTATTATTAATATTAATAATATTCATTGTGATTATTTTTCTTCTTTTGCATATAACCTTTATATACATTAAAGATTTTGAATTTTTGTTTTGTATAATTAATGTTTTATTTAGGTGACCATATCTCACATTTGATAAATGCTTCAGAAAATATGTTGAACTCTTTAATGCGGTTAATATTTGATTTTGAAAACGTAAGAGATGAAATAGAATATCTATCAACGTTGCCTTCTGATGATCAAAAAAAATTATTACTACAAAAATGTAAAGAATTCGTATATCATGTAAGTTCATTTTATCATTATAAGTAATTTATTTAGTCAAGGTTCAGAATTTGAGCACTTAATTTTTTAATATGTTATTAAAAACAAAAATAATGAATTTGGATACTTTATTTATAATAATTTATAAATAATGAATTTAAAAATTAGATTATTTATTATTAGAAATAATTAAATAAATATTATCAGGTATCGCATAATGTTACAGTTTTTTGATTATTAGAGTTAAAAAACATAATAGTTTATCTTGTAGTTTTTTTACCTTTTGTTTTTTGTAATAAATAAATGCTATATAATACTACTAAGCCTAGTTCATAGCTACATTGTCTATTGAATTGACTGTTATAACCGTTAACCAAAATCTACTGTAAAATTTGTAGTTTGGCCAAGCTCAATTTTGTACATTACACAATAGACAGCCTGACCGTGAACTTGCATATGATATTTATGTTAGAAGTATAAATATTTAAATTTGTATATTTTATAAGAAGTTTTTATTCAATACAACTTTTTTTAAATCATCATTTAACATATACATATATTCCAAATAATTTAAAACTCTAATTTACAATTTACCCAAATGGAAAGAAAAACTACTTGATTTATTTTTATTAACTTGTATATGATACTGTGATGAATGCGTGGTAAGCCATTGGCTTGTATATTATTTAATTCCTCTAGGACTATTAATACCTTAAACTGATATGTTTTCAATTCAATTTAGTTTTAAATTTTATTGAATAAAAATAGATTTGTTTTGTAGTTTTCCAATGATTGTACAAATGCTTTAAGTTCCATAACTCCAAATACTTACTTGTTTTTTATTAATTTATTGCGTTTGTTTATGATCTAGGAAATAAAGAATTTTATTTCTCCTGATTCTTTAGTTGTAATCAAAGATCCAATTGAAATAGTGCCATTTGAGTCTCCAACTATAATTGAGATTTTAAAGAACTTTTGCTTGTATAAGTTTTTACTTAATCCTCAAGTAAGTATTTAATAATATTATATAAAATAAATAACAGCATACTCCTAGTCATAACTAACAAATTAAAAAAATAAATAATTTATGAAAACATATTCTTATTTTCTATCAATGTTAGATTATTTAAAATTATTTTTAATGAAATAATAACCTTCTAGCGAATTGATTACTATAAAAAACAGTACCTACATAATAACAAATAGTATACATTTTTATTATAAAATCATAACTGTTAATATTTAATTAAATGAACAAATATTATAAAATAAAATAATTTAAAAGAAAAATCATTTCTCTTGGACTTAAAATCATGAGAGTCTTATGCTTTATCGATTGAGTTAGCTAAGCTTTGAGTCTCCTATCACTTGTATATTATAACTTAATCTAGTTTTCTATGTTGCTACATGATTATTTTTAGTCAATTACTACTTTCTGATTTAGGATTTGATCATGAATTTTTATATACATATAATATTAGATAGTGCTTGTGTAACCTAGTTTTTAATTCTAATAATGTTTATGTCATGAGTAAGCATATTGATCTACCTGATAAAAGTGAGCCCAAATTAATCTGTCACGGCATTAGTAGAATAATACATTTTGTGATATTTTGTTATTTTATTGTAAATGATTAAACTCACAAAGAAATTAAAAAAGCAGATTTTTTTTATTAAAAACATCATAGGTTTGAATAAAAGTTATCAAAATTGTTTTTGTTAAAGTAATAATATTGTTAATTATCAAGAATGTTTCTGCAAAAAATAACAAATACTTATGCTTTAATAGATAAAATCATATACTTCATCAAAGTCGACACACCTCGCAACGGCATAGGTCATCGATGAACTAACTATGTAAAACAATATCACAACTAGACACCCTTTCACTAGTAAAGGCTCCAGCAGTGTTAGTGACAACAACAGTGTTGCCCCTAGTGGGAGTTTACAATATTATATCTAAGATTACTTGAATTAAATTGTCTCTAATATTTGATTACACTACACAATATATTATTTTAAAAATAATTTTCTTATTTTAATTTAATACATTTTAATTATATGGGTAAATAATGCTATAACAGTTGATAAAAATTAATTAAAATAAACATTTTGTTCAAATTATATAGTAAGAGGAAACAATTTTAATAAGCATTCATTTTTTTTAAACCAAAATTTGTTGATATAGATTTATTTTGTATTTCTATCTAACAAAAGTCCTATGGGTTGTGACGGAGTAAAAAACATTTAATTCAAATAAGGATATTTAAGTTTATAAGATATTCAAAATTATTGACTTTCTTAGGATTAAATAAATATAAACATTAAACTTTCATTATTATAAATTTCTAAAAATTTCATTACTCATTATTATCATAATTTTACTATTAATGTAAAATTTCAATAAATATTTATGTCATTTCTCTTTTTATAATATTATAAAACATGATAGAAAAAAAACCATCAAACATTAAATATTATTATAGCAACATAGAAAACTAGATTAAGTTTTAAAGTAGTAAAAAATAGAAATAGACTAAAAGAGTTCTTCAGCCATGATTACTAGATGTAGTTACTGTTCAAAATACCAACCACATAGGTTGCGCACGGCTTATCTACACATAATTTAGAAAATTTTACATCTAGAAGAATCCATTTTACTTTTTTATATTTTTTTACATACATATATATATTTTTAATATTTTTATATTAAAGTATAAATTGGCCTTTAATCAAAATTAACATTTAAAATATTAATCTGGTATGATTTTTATGATATTTAAATTTAATTATAGTTTTTTATGGGAATTTAAAAATTAACAATCATTAATTGATAGTCAATTTACCCTAGTATTAAAATTAATAGAAAAATGGGTTTTTCTAATTTGTTATATCTTAAATTAATAAAACAAAGATAATATATGCATGTGAGTACTAAGTAGGTATTCCTGATTATTATGTTATAAGTTATAACAATATTATTTATACTATAGTCTATATTGCTAATAAAAATAAAAATATTCAGTTACAGAATGTGTTATTTTAAAAGCAATGACCTTAAGAAATTATCATGGTAAAATAAAAAATAAAATTTTATAAACATATAATTTATAATTATTTAAAATTATATAAAAATGTTTTAATAAACACTTAAAAATCATTTGTTTAGAGATTTTGGTTGTGATTTTGGATTTTGTTTTAATGGAATAGAAATAGAATATATCTCTAAACAAACTGTTTTTTTATTTAAACATCATATTGTTGGGAAAATATGCAAAATTAAATATAGTTTGTCATTATGTTAAAAAAAAAAAAAATATTATTATCTTTGTGATTAAGAATGATAAACAACTAAAAATGTCCCAAACCTCAATAGTTTAATTTTAAATATATTGGTTTTTTATTTGAAGTATATTAAATTATAAAAATAATAAATAATATGTTCTAGCATGTAAAAGTTGCTTTTCAAATTGTAAAAATGATATTGAAAAGTTTTGATCAATGGGTATGGTATACATCTGAGGAACTTTCATCTTTCAATAGAATACGATACAACAGGAGTTATGAATCTTATTATCAGAAGTATTTAATACATTTATTATTTTCTTTTTGCAGTGTTTTACCAAAATAAGTTGTAAACTAATGAATTCAGTTATATTTTTTAGGTATAAAGAGAATTTTTTATTTCCCAATTCTATTCAATCACTATCAAGACCAAGACTAACAAGCAGTATGGTATTTGGTCAAGATGTTTTAAGATACACTATAGGGCCATTCAGAACATCTATTGCCGAGAGTTTTCTAAATGAAATAAATGATTTTACCTTCAGTAAAAGATGCGTAAAGCTCAAAATGTTGCCAAGGTTATTAAATTTAAAAATAAATATTTTTTCAATAAAAATTATGATACCATTATGGCATTATGATAAAACATAATTTTATTTTTGATTCAGGTTTTTGGAGTTATTCGAATTCGAAGTGTATGCTCTTGATTCACCCATCTGGAACCTAAATCACACACATACGCCTTATCCAAAAAACGTGTTAGGTATGCTACTTATTTTAGTTACACAATACACATATTAGTTATCTCTGTTACTTTTAATCCATTTTATATCTAGATAATTTAAATTCCAAATTAACTGAACTGATCCAAAATCATTTAAATGAAACCATAATGCATTTAAATGAAAAAAAGACACAAGGAAGAATATACAAAAGTAGTTGTTTAACAAATGGGTAAATATTATTTCTAATTTTTATTTACAACTAGCAGACTAACTACATTTTACAAGGATTGATATTATTATAAATTCTAATCATAAAAAAAAATATACTAAATTAAATAAGCTATGAAATATTTTATTTAATAGGTAGGTACCTATATATAATAATTTATTATTCATTGTATGAAACTTTAACTTCTTGTGTTACTCTTTTCAACCTATACCTTTAATTAAATATTTACATTTATATTAATTAATATAATACTTCACTAGTCTTACACTTTAGACTAATTACAATTGTTAACAATTACTCTTTTGTAGTTAGTTGAGTTCAAATAGACAAGACTTTAATGTGTACACAATTAGCTTAAAAATATCTGTGTACACATGAATAGGATACTGGATACAACAAATTACTATTTTTATTATTAAAAAAAAATAAAGTAGTTGACTGCTCTTCTGTACAGTAGGTATTGATTAAAGAAGTCTCTGTAATAATTGTGTTGAATTTGAACTCAACTATTTAAAATTCAAAAATCACTGCTTTTTTTGGACAAAAATTTGTGCTGATCTTCTAAATTACTTGTATGCTACATCATTGATCTTTAAATTTGTTTTAAGAGCTTTATCTGTAATATGTTTTAGTCCAAATTATCAAATACACAAATTAAATATAGACATTGTCTTTATGTATTGTATTAAAAAATAAAATTAATAAAAATTAAGGATTTGTCATAGTTATTATCAAATGATAAAAATTCTTAGGTAATTAATAATTTATTCACTAAAAATATTATACTTAGAAATTAAATTGTTTCAAATCAAACTGCATAATTATAAATTTGAAAAATGGTAGGTATTAAGATTTTATAACACGTGAGTATGACTAGTAATTATTTAAATATATTACATTAGAAAACAAAATGTAAGTAATTTTTTATATTGATCATTTTAATTATTTAAAGTTTATCTAGACATAAGTCTAGATAAGTTAAAATAAAAATTTATTTTTTATAAATGATTTTAGAGTTGTGAAACGAGTGCCAGACGAAAATTATAACAATTATGTATTAATAGATAAACTTATAGAGGCGTTTGAAAGTATGTGTATTGATTTTGGTCCCAATACATCTTTAAAGGTAAATTCTTGATAAAATAATTTTTAAAATATATTTAAAAATGTCATGATAATTAATTTTTTTTTTTGTTCTATAACCTTAAGTTAGCCAAATAGTCTAGCTTTTTTACTTTAGTTATATAATTATATCATAATTTTAAGTGTGTTGATTTAATGGAACAAATGTGCTAAAATTAGACATACAAGATGTTATTATAAAAAGTTTTTTTTGATAAGACTAGTGACAGCAATAGCGTATTTACGAGGTTGAGGATTTGAAGAATGGAATCTTGCTTGTTGACCTTTTCTTTATTTTATAATCTATGGTATTTGATAAAGTATACAATTTATAATGCATGGTATAGTATAGGTATTAGTAAGACAGTGTATAATAGGAAATTAAAAGTAGGTATGTAATCGCAAAAATGTAAACAGAATACATTAAATTAAGTTTAAGTAAAATAGAAAGGTAGTTTTGTGACAATTGTCTTCATAAAAAATGAAATGTAATAAAATGTAAAAAAGTTATAGGTTTTTTGTGGTGTAAACAGAGATACAAAATAAGAGTAATCATAGGAGATGAGCAATGTTAACTATGCTGCTAAGAAAGGAAGAAGTAAAATAAGAATCTAAGTCAACACTATAAAAGACAAGGGTAGGAATGCCTGTTGTCTAGAATAGAGCGAATAGTAGAGTCTTTATGTGGTGGTTAGGGATTATAAAAACAAAAGTGAAATAATTGATTGATTTTATAAGCCAATAACCAGTGATCATGCAACGTAGATAGACCTATTTTTAAAAACTAATTTCTCACAGGAAATTTTCAGCAAAATTTTGGTAAAAATTTCAGTTATAAAAACTTCTGCGCTAATGAGTTAAATAAATTCACTGTAGTATATTTAACTAATTTATTTCAGTGACCTATTTAAAATTATGCCTAATGCAATATATTTTACTATTCACTTGACTATTAAACACACAAATTGATAATCACAAGAAGTAATGTAATTATAAATTATGTTTGCCTTTAACCTATTTTTTCTCCAACCATTATTTATTTTTTCAACTTTTTCTAAATTAGTTATTAAATATTAAGTATTTAATATTGACTACCCACTACATTTAAAATGTAATTATTAATAATTAATTGTTTATTAATTAGGGTTTTATGACAGACCAGAATAAATCTAAAACTCAAATAAAAGACAAAAATGCAGGAATAGAAATGATGGTATTTGATTGCAAGTCAAATTTTACAAAATGTGTGTTATGCCGCAAAGAGTTAAAAAAGATGTACTTAACTCGATTACCAAGACTTTCAGATATATGTGTTACAAAATTGGAAAAAGATAAGTATGTTGTTACTTATATTAAAGTTAACTTATTACTTTAAAAATCCCTTATTTAACTTATTTTTAAAGGATGGGTACACTATTAGTTTTTAGTATTTATCCTCAGTGTTTAATAATTGAATGGCTGATGAGAAACAAAATCTTTATTTAATTAAATATGCTCTAGCAGTTAATTGATTATTTTTTCAATTCAAATAAATTATCTATCATGATTTTAAGTTTAATAATTGTTTTTCAAAGAAAAAAAAGTGAAAAAATTGTTTAAATGCATATTTTTCTTTTTTTTTTTTTTGTGAAAATAGTAATGCTCATTAGTCATTATCATATTCTTTTGCTAAAATTTCCAAATCTTATTTAGTATAAAAATATTTTCTATTCTAATTATATCTGTAAACTCTTAAATTTAAAGAATATTAGTATATGATAAATTTGTTTCTATTGCTTTTATTTTTTTATTTATATTTAGGGAATTAAACCTAATTCAAATTATTCATATAATTACTATTAATAATTGTTATATGTGTTTTATAGTTGTCAATTTTATTATTTTTTTTTTTTTTTTAAATCATAGAATAAATTATAATTAAGTGTGCTAAGAAATAAATTCTCAGACAATATAAACAATTATTTTTAAAATAATAATTCATTCAAATTCAATTGTTAAAAAAGCCTATTATTATATTAATATTTTTATATGTAATTGCTTTGTAATTAGACAAATACAAACATTGGCCATGTTGGAAGATGGTGTTCCTGTTGGTGGAATATATTTCCGCACATTCAAATCTCAACGTTTCACTGAAATAATATTAAGTGTGTTCAAAATTGATTTACATGCTAATGGATATGAATCGCGTTTAATGAGTTATTTAAAGGACTATAATATAAAAAATGATATATGGGATTTACTGGTTTACGCTGATAAAGGAACATTTGGTATAGATTATTAAGTATAATACTCGATAATCACTATTTAATTATCATATTTTATTTATTTTTTAGAATTTTTCAATAAACAGAATTTTAGTCCAAAAGTGAAAATCCCAAAGACAGTATTTAATAAGCATATAACACATTATGGAGATTCCTACAATTTGATGCATTGCAATTTAAAGAAGTGAACAATAACCGAAATTCTCTAAATTATAATATTATATAGCATAGGTGGCCAACTTGCAGCTCGCGAGCCACATGTGGCTCTTGTCATTGTCAGATGCGGCTCGCGTCTTATTTACAAAATCAAAATTTACTTAATATTATTATGAATTTTAATTTTTAGGTATTAGCTTATAAAAAATTATCAAGTTATATAAACATAATGGTTCTTGGCATCATTGTATTTATCTATGTGACCCGCAAACCTATTCATGTTGGCCACCCCTGTTATATAGGCATTGAAAAATAAATTTCAATGGATGAATACATGGCTATGTTTAGAGAAGTTAATTTTGAATTTTGAACTTCCCCTCCCATTATATTCTCCCAAAAATAAATTTAAGCTAAATATAATCCATAGGTATATAATATATAGATTTAATAATAATTGTTTTAATGGGTGTTTAAAATTAGTTTATTGTCAATTTAAAAAATATGATTTTTGGTTTTCTAATTACAAATCAGATAATAATGTATATTTAAGCAGCATTCTGTCTTAAAAAACTTTTTTTTATAATCAGCGTTAAAAATTAAAAATTTATTGAACATGATCATGTTAATTCAGTTAAAAATAATTTTAAAAGTCGTGTTTATAAATCTAAAGCTTATACTGCTCATTAAAATATGTTTTTACTGTAAAACAGGCTCATAACAAACTATTTATACAAGTATTTCAAATTCATTATCAAATGAGCAGTTAAAAACTCTATTTGAGGTTGAGTGGAATCAAATATTTTCTTAAAAACTGTACTTTTACAATGATGTTGCTAGTGTATTCAAAATCTAAAAGAATTATGGTTTTTGTGGTCAATTATAAATGTATAATCAATTATAAGGTAATTATAATTTAATTAAATGTTTTTATTATCAGGAGGTTTTTAGATGTTTCAATAATGTTTAGAATCTTGTTTAAAACTAAGTTTTATTCTTGTATTTTAGGTAGGTAATTAAAGGTTTTAAGTTTAAAATGTTCTTTGTTCAATGTTTAGGTAAATTTGATATTAGTTTATCATTCAATTAGAAAAATGTTTAAGCTAGATATATACCTAATAGGATTATTGACATTATTACATTTTAAAAAATTAGACTTTAAATTCTGTTTTTGACTATTAGTTGTCACAAATAGTAAAAATTTAAAAAAACATAATTTGTTTGTATTGTATCCTTATCTACTTAATTTGTAATCAAATAATATCAGTTAAACTATTCTGTGGTTAAACTATATTTAAAAAAAAAAGTAATAATAATACTATTATAATGGTCAATGGTCATACATAAAGTATAACTTTAATACATACTTTTATATTCTAAATAATGTTTTATCATAATAATTCTTAAGTAAAATTAGTTAATTTATATTGTTTGAAATTTTGGAGTGTTCTAATAAATAATTAATATTATATCAAAATATATATAAGCTTAATACAATTTATTTTATAAATAAAATAGGGTCTTGTTAATCCGAATACAGGCTAATCTAAAAGATGTGGTAATCCTAACGGGCTTGGAAATTGCTGCATCGCTATACTAATACACGGCTGTATGATAATTCATAATAATATGTAATATATGTACTTACATAATAATTGGTTTATGGCTTTATATTATACATATTTATAATGATTTTGATTGTACTCGTTGTGTTTTTCAACAAACAATTTTTATGAATTAATACAGTATTGATAAAGATTAATTTCAAAATTTAAATTTCAAGAAAATTGATTTTTTATCATAAGTAATCTGAACAAAATGGTATCAATCCGAAATGATCCGTTTCCCAAATTCCGTTCGGATTAATGAGACCTTACTGTAATGTGTTATTACAATACTTATATTATAAGCTAAGATATATTATATATTATAATGTTTGAAATTATTGTGTGCTCTAATAATTAATTAATATTATTGTTGAAAGTTAATATGTTAAATAATAATGCAGAAATCTTGGAGAAAGTAATAATTACCTGTAATAATATTTAACATAATGAATGTACCTAATTGTAATAAATGCAATATATGTGTGAAGGCAATGGGTAGCTTGACAGAAAGTACAAAAAGTGTGTGTGTCTCAACTTTATTATCTTACTTGCACTTAAAATGTTTTATATGTCCATATAAGTATTAGGTAATTTTTTGGTTTAATTAAACTTAAATTATAGTGTGTGTAATCTCATATAATTAATTATACTGAGTAGTGTGTGTATTGCTTAATTTCATTAATTATATCAAAAAAATATATAAACTTTATACAACATTTTTACTTACTAACTAATGTATCATCTTTCTTATAAATCAAAACATATTGTTTATGATAAGGTTTGAAATGTTTGGTTGTTATAATAAATGTATTTAATAAAGTTTTGTGTATTAATATGATTATTTTATTATTAATGTAATAAAAAAGGTTCTTAATAAAGAGAAATATTACGCATACATTCATTGTTCATATGTTATGTACACGTAACATACCAAGGTAAGTGTGCATTTATTATAGGTATTGTTGATGCTGCTTTTTTTTTTAAATTATTTAATTAAAAAATAAATTTAAGTTTTTTGCTGTAATATTTATTTTTAGTTAAATGTTTTAATTTTAAAGTGAGTTATAAGTAAATAAAATACAAAAATTCAAAAATATTTATTCCTGGATTTTAAATAATATTAAATAAAACAGACAAGATTATTGTCTTTAAGTTTGATAATACTTTGATATAAATTTACTATAATATTAAAAACATCAATTACTGAAAATGCAAAGTGTAAAGGGATGACATATGTTGCTAAGAAATAATGATGCATGCATAACATCCATTTTTCTTTGTTTATGTATTTTAATTTATTGATAATTGTATTTAAAAATAGTGAATGAATTTCTGATTGCTATTCTTTATGTTAAATATAAAATACTCAACTACTACTCAACTATAATAAATGATTAACTAAGTACTAAAAATAAAATATGTTTTAAATATTTTATTAATTTTTCAATTATGAAAAGCATTTCACATTGACTAATGATTATATAGTTGGTATAACGCCAAGTTAGCTGAAATTGTTTTTTAGCTACCTACAAAATTTAGGTATAATAGCTTGACAGTCACAACCAATAGTTAAAATTAAATGTTGGCAACAACAAAAAAAAAAAATTCTTTATAGATTTAAAAAACAATAATGACCTACTAATCTAATAACTTTATAATTACATAATAATTAATAATTACATACTTGGCCACATTGGTTTGCAATAAATAACTATTATTTTATTTTAAATTATTATTAACTTTTATACTACTAGTGACTATTTTTTTTTTTTATAGTCACTAGAAGTATAAAATAAAATATAATATGCATGAAAAAAAAAAAACAAAAAATAATAGATAAGACTTGGTTTATCACATTAATAAATGAAAATGAAAATCTCAATACGGAGATTCCTGTCTCTTGGAAGAATAATTTTAAATTGAATTTATTATTTATTCAATTATAAAAATGTCCTAGAAAGCAAAATCAAAGTTCACGAGTTTTTAAAAATAATTATCATTTTTTCTTATGATGTTTTTATTCTATAAATTCACATTTATTACACAAAATGGATTATTATTTATATAACACAATTAATAATAATAACTTATCAAATAACTACAAGTGTAGAAGATAATCAAAGAAATTATTAGTAGCTTACTGCGTTAAACATAATTTACCAGTATTTTTCATTTTATTTTAATTTCATAAAATATATGAACATTTTTTTTTTTTTTTCATTTAGTTGTCATTCTTAAACACTAAAAAGAATAAAACATATTTAAGTCACTTAAATAACATACAAAGAATCAATACAAATGTAGTGAAAAATATTAAATAAAACATAAAAAAATAACTGAAATTGTCCTCATAAATATTCTCATATGATAATATCTGTAATTCTTCTAAAATTATATTTGTAAAAGTAATAATAACCTGAAACAGATAAAATTGTAAATGATTGGTATGATGTAAGCAATCAACAGTTTTTTTTTTATTAAGTTAATTAAACGTCATAATTATATTTTACAGTAGAACCCCTCTCATCCGCCCTCGGCTGGTCCGCCGCTCCGGTTGATCCGACCATAGTATAATCGATATGAATACTATGTAATTTAAAAATACAATTTGGATTTTCTACTTTATAGAATATATTATATAAAATTAATTGATAGTTTAATATTTCCCTTATCGCTTGTCCGCTTTAGTACTCCGACCTCTCTCGTATCGTTTCTATCAGTATGCGTACCTATTTTGGAATATTGCAGTTAAGTCTAGAATGTCATTTGCTTAACAAAAATCTTTAACTGATATTTTTTCTAAGTAATGTAAAATATAATAAATTTCTGATATAATCTTGTATGTAATATGTAAATAAAAAAATGTTCTGTATATTCTGGTAATTCGACCTTTTTCGCGTTCCGACCACACCTTCAGTCACGAAGGTGACGGATTAGAGAGGTCCTACTGTATAAGCACCAAAAATTATAGTAATAGTGGAATTAAATGATACAATTGAGTTAATTTGTAACTATAATATAAATAATAATACAATAAAAACGTATTCATAAACGCATTAAGACTCTATTCTCACACTTTAGGAATTTTTAGGTGAGCTGTCTAAGATATAGGAATTTAATGTAAAGATCCATTATGAGATCTATAAATCTGTGGTTTAAAGTTGGGATCATGTTTTTATATCATGACCGAGATTTTCTTGATGATTAATTAAGTCATCTTGATTTTTAACAATTGAATACAATTTAGTAGGTATCACCAGTAGCAATTCTAACACATTAACTGAGAAATTAAAAACATTGTGAATCATTTATGTAAAAGTTAAACAATAAAGGCTCTAAATACGAGTCCTGTGGCTCAACAGAAAAAATGTTGTTAGTGATATTACAGTGATGGGTAAATTACTTTTAAAAAGTAACGAAATTAAGTTACTCGTTACTTCAAATATTTTTATTTAAATTACATTTGCGTTATCTAAAATTATTTTTATCACGTTACATTACTTTTTCATAAATATTAAATAAAGTAGTGCATTACAAATAACGTTATATTTTTTTTTTTATTTCTGATAACAGTAATCATTTTTTTTAAACCATAATCAATGCATACGATACATTTTACAATCAATGAATCATAGACCTATTGTGATTTATGTACAGAAATACAGAATAATATGTAAATGTACAATCATCTCACTATTATGGTTAAGTACCTAGTTTAACTTAATTGTATACATTTAAATTCAAATTACACATGTTTATAATACTAAATACAACAATAACGTAAGTTATTTAGCCACTATTATCGGAATCAAAAATAAATAAAATTGATTTTTAATTTTTCTAGAATATCTTATTGGCTTGTTTTTGTAACACATTCAAAACTATTATTTTAATAAATACCTATCGTGGAAAATAACACTTTAATGCATTACCTACTTCATAGAAATTATTTTTAAAAAATAATTGCGTTACAATTTCGTTACTTTAAATAAAATGTAATGAAATGACTGCTGCATTACTGAACAAGTAGGTAATTGCGTTACACTAATTTGTAATTAGCATTATAATACTATGTATGATAACTTAACTGAATGACTTCTATCACTAATTAATAGTTGTTTGACATAATGAAAATAATATTGTTAATCAATATTTGCAATTGAACAGGAGATAAAAAATAAATACATTTCTGTTCAATTGATAGTGTCTCTTTTTTTTATATTATGGCGACTTGTGTTTCATAATATGAAAGCAAATGACAATTCGCGCCCACGATCATTTTATAATAAGTGACGATTTTCGTCACGCAATATACCCATGAATTTAATATTACATTGTAAAAAAACTGGTCTTGTTTCTAGAAAGAGTACATTTTGCGATGATGATGATATATGACGATATACATATTGATATATCAATTATTATTACACAGATAATACGCGATAATAATTAATCAAAAATAATTTACAAACGGATAATATTCAAATGGGTGTGTGTGTGGTGGTCTGTGACAATATAATATAGATCGCTAACAGACACAAGGCTATGCAAATTAGTGCATGGACTACCGTCGCGGCTCACCGGTCTCAACACATATCATAATAATAGGTATGTATTATTATAATTTTCTGTTATTTTTAGTATAATTTATGTTTTAATAACGGTATCGGTTATTTATATATTATAAAAAAATTAGTATTTATATAATATATAGGTACTCTAGATGAGTTAAGGAATACTAGCTTTCTACTCAAGCTTTGATTTTTTATAGGTAAATTATTTTTTTATTATTTAATTTATATTTCCACAGTCTGTTACATACATTTTGAACAATAAGTGATATTGATGAATTAGATAACTATGGCGTGAAGGACGGATTAAAGATACCTTCCAGTGAAGGCACTTTTACAAAGGTAAATTATTTAACTTAATAATGTCTTAATGTCTATAATAATATAAAATATTTATAATAAAAATAAATTATTTATACTATTACTATATTATCTATTAATATTATTTTTAAAACTAATTGACGATTAATATTATGCAAAATGCAGAAATGTAAATTTTTACTATAATAATATGACATATTTATTGACAACTATATCCTCTGGGAGTATGGAAATCCCTATATTTGCTGTTTTGATTTTGTCAACAGTCTTTGTGCTCCCCCCTACCATCACGGATACTAGATTAACCAAACGTTTATTTGGGATTAGAGTTGGGTCTAGAGTGGAGGTGTACGTTGTCGTGGGTATAGTGAGTGATTTAAAATGCCACATATAGGAACTTACCAAATCTTTCAGCCTTCGCAGTCTCCTTGACGACGGCTGCGGTTGTTGTGGAAACGAACCGATCAATAATGATGGAATAAACAAAGCTGTTTTTGCACGATTTTTATTACGCAACAAGCTCCCTGATTCCCAAGATGATACAGGATATACGTATAATAGTATACATATTATGTTATTTTACTAAAATCAAGTAATGCAGAATATTCGATTTTCACCATAACATAAGTATATTGTTTATTATGATTAGATGCGCAATGCTATTTTACGATGTCTGTCTCTCAAAAAGTTATTCAATGGTTATAAATTGAAAAAAAATCTCACCAAGTGCAGATGTGATAATGAATAAATAAATTTCTGTTCAGTTAATTGTATCTCTTTATCTTATAGATACTGTTTTAAATGCAATTTTATAAAAATATGATGTATAGGTATATACAGTGTATATATAGTGTAAAGTGTTGCTTTTTAAAAATAATTGTGTAGATATACATATATCTAGGGTAAAATATTATTCAAATAATAAAATATTTTCTATTATTGAGTCTAAATAATAATTAATAGGTATTTAATATTGGTCAATAGGTCAATAGCAAGTTTTATACATTTAAATTTACTTTACTCGTTGTATAATATATATTTTTAAGCTTGTAGGACAAATGAATAGGAAATCAATATAATAAAAATATATAGCTGTACATATCTTGTCTTATTAACCTAAAGTATTTCAGTTATTTTCACGTTATTTTCTTTTTATATAATATGTATTTGAATAACTACTTGATACCTTTTAAAATATCTATTACAGCAATATCATAAAGTACGTACGTAAAGGTAAAATATGCAAATATGCAAAAACTATTAAAATATGAGATAGCGGCATGAATTAAAATTTAATTATCACATACGATATATATTATACATCAATCGATAACAATAAATACTTCCTATCTGTAATTAAAGGACATCACTCATGCATGAATCATTGTGTACATATTAACATAAATAATAATGTTGGGTATTAGTATATACTATATAGTTTAAATAGTAAAATTTCGTAAATATTTTTCATTTTTATATTTATGAACTTTCAATTCATATTATTCGTTGATCTTTTTTTGCGAATATCAAAATGTTTTTATTTAAAATAATTCTTCTTGTTAGTGTTTTTTATGTGTCTAAATCAAAGAACGTTTATATGCCAAATCTTCCAGTGGTAAATTATTTAATTTCGGAATATTTAAAATAAAACATATTTTCTGTTTTGATTATTTATTAATTAAATACAAACGGTAAAATTTTATTTTAGGGAAAATATCGAATTGTGGTTCACACGGTAAATCCTTGTGAGACTACACAAGATTTAGAAATACAACTTAATCTATATTTAAGTAAAAAGGCAAGAAATTTTACTGAAGTTTTAGGGAATATAACAGCACGAACAGTTTTTGACGATTCATTCTCAGTAAGTTTATTTGATATATATGTTTGATTCGTAAATATAATCGTATATTAAATTAAAACACAACACATAAACAATAGTCAGTACAATTTTTTAATTTTTCTATTAAGGATATTATTTTGTGAAATATTTGTAGCTTATAGGGCAAGGTTAAGTTTGGTACCTATGTTCCAAAACGTAACATAAAATGTATAAATAAATACATATATTTATATGCTGGAGTATTTGGCATATTTTTGACTATTTTAATTCTATTTTAAATTCTTAGTGACATGTGTTGACTGTTGATGAATGTGTTAATTTTGAAATAATATGTTTTTTTTTTCTGTTTTTGGAAAGCTTAAAATCTAAAGGCACAATTTTTTAGATATTTTAAGTTAAAATTTTGGCGAGATCGGATAATAAAACAATAAGAATAAGAATTTAAATTATTTTGTAATAATTAAATAATGTACATTGGAATTTAAAAATATTACGAATAGTATTAAATTTTATTATATTTCTGTAATATTTAAATTAATTTTAAGCTATTGCATCTTAATAGTTTATAGCGAATTATTAATAGCTAAATTTAATTTTATAGTCATATAATATTATATTATAATAAATTATTCTTGGTCATTTAGGTTGAGTTTTGACAACTATACTACGTATATATTTACCATTCCTTTTTTGTACGAATGACTAAATGTTTTTTTTTCATATTTAATCTACTTGTGATACATCTACTCAATAACGTGGTATTTAACTTGACTTATATTGTCCATTAGACCTGTTATTAACTAGCTTATTGTTTTTCGCAATATTTATTTTTACATAATAAAATATGTAAATTATTTTATGTTACTCTTTAAAAATGTTCTAATTATTTTTTTATATTTACGTAATTATTCTCATTATATTATACATCATTAAAATATGGTATACATATAAATTCGTTTTATTTTGTAGGCTGACTATAACCTTGCTACTTGGAGTTTATCTGGGGGCTGGAAACCAAATTTTTATGTTTATAAAGGTATTAATGCATGTTCAACATTTAAGTATATCTTAGGAAATGCGTGGACCTCAGTACAAAAGGCTTTTGATTTTCCATCTGATAAGTGTCCTGTACAACCGGTAATATAATTCTACTTAATGAATAATTAAACCGCCACTAATGTTTTATTTGTTTTTATATCTATTAAAGAATTGTAAAAAAATAGCAAACAATTAATAACTAAATACTCAAATTAATTGTGAATTCAAAATTTATTTTAAGAATTTTTTGTTGGGATAATGAAATAATAGATTGTTGTGTTATGGTATAATAAACTTTAATACACACACACACACACACACAACATTTTTTTAAATTGAAAAAAATATTTTAAAATTACTGAAATATTGTTTAATTTACAATAAGTTAGGTCGATAACTTTTCAATTATAAAATAATATTTCGGCATATTACTGTGATTAAATATACATCGCACTGTTGTCGTCAAATATTTGACAGCGACGATAATAATAAATACTAATGTAAAATAATAATAAGTTTTATATTCACTGTTATTGAAAATACATAGGTTAAGAAAAAAAAATCAATTTTTTTAGAAAATATTAAATATGTCTTTAATGTGTATGAAAAATCAATAAAATATGCATTTTTCCCTAAAATTGACGAAATATGCAAAATATGTATAAACTATAATATATACCGTAATATTATGCCTGTAAGTTATACCTAACTAATAAATTAAAATAAGTTATTAACTATTTTCAGGGCACGTTTATATCAAAAGGAATTAATGTAAAAGTGATTGAAGATAATAGAGCACCCAAAGTTTACTTTTATGGAAAATATAAGATGGTTTTTAAACTGAAAAATAAAGAAAATAAATTATCTGCCTGTATGATGTCCGAATTTGATCTTGTAAGACCATGGGAAGTGCCTGAGAATTATTAATTGTATACATTTGTACCTAGATAATTTTAAACTTTGAGTTTAATGTATAATATTATTTACTACATTTATATCATATCATATTAAATCTTTAAATTATCACTTTACAATTCGAGATATTTTTTTATTTCTAATTTAAAGAAATCATTTACACATATATTATATATTTATATGAGAATATAATAATGGATCTCCAAATATATTCCGTGACTTTTTTTTTAACTCCCACTTTAATAAGCTTTCAAAACCTACTTTCGAATTTTATGAAATACGTTTTTTTTTTTTTTTTATAGCAAAATGGATTTATTTAAAATTATTATTCTAAGGTTTTTTTTTTTTTTGTGTCCAAATAAAAAACAATTCATATGCCAAGCTTGCTAATGGTAAATAATATAAATGGACAAATAAAATCGAAGTGTTTTATCTTGTTATAAGGAAATTATCAAGTAGTATTTCACAACATTTATCTTTGTGAGATAAAACAAAATTAACAGTTAAGTGTCAATCTATATTTTTTGTAAAAAGACAAAAAATATTACCAAAATTAAAGGAAATTTAATGTAATAAACAATTTTTGATGATTCGTTAATTATATCTAAATTTATTTAAAATTAATACTTGATTTGTAAAACCTAATCTATAATTTATGGAATTTAACGTGTTATGTATTTTATTAATAAATATGTTATTTATAATTATTTGCTTTTGAGTTATATCAAAAAACAAAATTGATTTTTTAGAAAATTGGATTTGTGTAAAAATTTAAATAAATGTATACAATTTAAGTATTAAATATCTTTATTGCTATATTTTATAAAATAAATAAAATAATAATTTATTAAACATAGATATAGACATATAGTAAATTATAAATTCAAGTAAGTCTATCAAATTGTAATAAGAAAATATAAAAATTATATTTTTATCTACCTATGTAATATCATGTTTGTAATAATTATTTTAATATTGTATCTATATACTATACAATTGAATTGACCTATATTTATTTTCTAATTTACAGAATCGATATAGTAGTATTATAATTATGGAAGAATTAATTTAACTCAATTCAGTTGAAATCAATAGAAAAATTAACGATATTTTGAATATACGAGTATTATTCACTATATAATCTTATGAAAAGATATAATTTCTTTATAGTCTAAAACCAAAGTGATAATAAATTAAGTGAATTATTTGATTTCAAGACAAATTTTTTGACAATAAGTATAGAATTAATTGTTGTGCATGAAAAATATGAATTAACTTATGTCAACTTGGCACAAAATATTAAATTAAAATAATTGATGATACTTTTTAATAGGTATACCTAATGATAATTGACTATACTTTGATATAACTTTATACAGTGATGGGAAAGTTCTTTTTAAAAATTAACTAGTTCATTAATGATGAAATCAATAACCTATAAAAAGTTACTAAAGAAAATGTATTAAAAAAATAAAAATTGTAATTTACGTCTATATAGTTTAATACAATTATAACTATATGTAAAAAAGTTAAAAGAATGTTATAAATTATAATACTGTTTATTCACATTAAATAACAATAAAATATACTGTATATGTTTAGTAAGATGAAAATAACCTTATCCGTAGAAACATTTTACAACTAATAATCATACATTTTTTTTCCATTCATCCAGAATTTAACCTACTTTTTCATCACCTAATGCAAGTTCAAAAGTACAATGTATATTATTAAGTGGTACGTCATCTATTTTATTAATTGGTAATATTTCAAGTGCATAATAAGGTCCTTCATGTCTTTCATGATGAGTTCATTAGTTTTATTCCTAAAACTTTTATTTATTCGTTGAGAAAAATTTATGGACAAAAAAGTTAGTCTATCATCAATATGTATCCTCATCAGTGCATGTACTCGTATACTAGTTACATCCAAATATGCTATAAGTAAACTATACAATACTATTAAGTCATTAACATTAAGTAAATAAATTTTGGTTGGCGCATCAAATACGATATGTTCTATTTTAAAATTTAAATTATATTTCAGTTAGATATAGAAAATGTCAAATAAAAATATTTTATCAATAATTATCTTAGTTATAATGAATAGTATTATGTTTATTTTTATTAATCTGAATGTGAAAGATTTAAAATATTATCTTCAAAACTATAATTGTAGATTAAGAACTATTTTAATCATATAAAATACTTATTAATAAAATTGTAAATTTGAAATAAATGGTTCTAGATTCACTAGATTGATTGAATAGGGCACTCAATCTATGCAGAGACTAATAGCTGACTATTGATTTATATTTAATGAATAAATTAATATTGTTTTCTAATATAGAACCTAACAAAGAAAAATATAGTTTTATTGATTCAAATAATGTAAATTGTATTATCTTAAGCGTTATACTGACCAATGTTTCCATATACTTTATTTTTCAGCATTTCAGCAAAAATGATTGTTTTTTCGACTTGGTTATTTGTAAATGCTTCATTCATGGATATTAGAAACGTGCATCTCAAATATTTGTTGATTGACATTCCAAATTGGCTATGAATGAAATATTTTCCTTTACCGCTTATTTTATCGTAAAGTTGATATAACAATTTTTGCATGATTAGAATTATATCTTCTTGTAGTTTGTCATCGATCATACAGTTTTTATTTGGTATTGGACTAAAAAGTATGTCATGCACACAGGTAATATACTCCCACAATTCATTTGGAGTAACCTCTAAATCCAAAAACTGAAAATGTAGAGGATATTATTAGTTTTATTAATTGAAATTTGATATTAATTATTAGGGTTGTGAAAATTTACCAATATCAACTTTTGACATGTTGACTTTCGATCTCTTAATAATTTTGTTTCGAAGCAGATTTTTTTTTTTGCCGCTCTTGTCATAGAGTTTTTATTAATCTTAGATATAAAATAATCTATATTATTTTCATTGATTGCCTCAATTTCACCGATACTAAGTTCTATAAAGAACCATGTGTAATTAATTAGATCCTTAATATTTAGCCACATTAATACTGGTTCGACCATTAATTGATTAACGATCGTTTGTTTTGAAAATATCTCCAAGCTAGGTTTCTTAGTGTGCCCATTAAAGGTCAACATTTTAGTGCATTCGCTATTGTTTAATTGGTCTACTGAAAAATTAATTTGTTAATGGTTAATTTTTTTTCTTTTTTGTAAATTCTATGGATATAATATAAAAATTCTACATTTGAACTGTGAAGTATAATTATTGGAAGGATAGATCGCAGTTGGCCAAACAGGGATGTTTTGGCGTTGGTTATGTGAGACACTCAATTGTTCAAAATCATTGTTATCATTATCCCATAGGCTTTTGATATAATCTTCTACTTCTTTAGTTCCAAGTTGGTAATTTTGATACCTATTAAATCGTTTGAATATTAAATTTAATGTTTCTGTCATGATTTTATATGATTTTAATTTAAAACAATTTTTAGGAAAAAAAAATAGTTCAACTTACTTATACATTCCAATTTAAGGTGATTAGAAAATGTACCACAATTGTGTTAATCTACAATAAAACATTAAAAATTATATATTTTTAAATACACTTTCGACTTTGTATACATTTATTGCTAATAAAATAGTAATTATAATTGATTATTAACATATATTTTACGATTTTTTCTCAAAAATAACTATTATGTAATATGTTATTAAAAAAAGGATTGAACTAATATTATATATTTTTCAAAGTACTTTCTATATTCATTAAATATATGTTATGCATAATTTATCAACACCTATGATGCAATAAAAATAAATAAGTTTTGATAAATATATTTTAATTAAAATGTCTAATAGTTAGTAAAAATATTATATATTATAATGTAGACGCAATAACGCTAACTTAAAAAAGTATAACATTTTAGTGTCTTATACCCTATTAGTTATTATTGTCCTCATTTAAAGACATAGATAAATAGCGGTAAATTAAACAAAATAATGAGTTTAATTAAAAAGAATAATCAACAATACTTATAGTATTGATGTTACATATTAAATAAATACTGAATTAATTAATTTTTTCTAAAAGCTTTTTGTAAAAATCCTAAACATAATTAGTGTAGGGATGCAACACGATTATGAACGTTTTACCTTTTTTTTACAATACGATTGCGAACGAATGTCACTTATTAAAACATTTGTTTTTTTAGCCGAAAAAAGAACGATTGCGAACGTTTTTTATAGGCTACGTTGCCAATTTTATGATTTCTGAATATGTTTAATTTTGTTCGAGAATTCAATTAAAATATTTATTTTTTTTTAAATAAAAACTATGCGATATTAATAACACAATGTTGCATTATATGCTACGTTACAAACCAAAATAAAATTATATAAAATAATATAAAGTGTTTAAAGTTTTGAATAATTAAAATAATTTTGGAGTATAAATATTAATAATACCGTCACATAATTTATAAACTGAAAAAAGTAAAAAATAAGTTTTTAAAATGTTTTTCTACATAAAAGTTTTTTCTTAGTTAGGAGTTACTAGTTTTTTATAAATAAAAAATTAGATCCTTTTGGATTTTATAAATTATTATCATTATAATTATTTAATATTGATTCAATTTTAAATTTATATTTTTTGGCCTTAGGGTTATGTAAATTGTTTTAGTAATAGCAGAAAATCCTTATACCTACTATTTAATTATTTTAAAAATTATTATTTAAAAATTTGTAATTGACTAATGCTTAATCTGGCAACCCCGCACAATTAAAGGTAAGTGTTATAACGTTCGCAATCGTATATCACCCTTAGTGCAGATACTACGAATAAAATGTATTTATTTTAATTATTATATCGTGGCGTAAATCATAGGTACATGCATTGTGTATAATATTAAACAATAAATACTTGTTGAATGTCCGGCGTAAAACGACTTGTGATGTGTTTGAGTTTGAATCGTAAAAGATGTGTTATTGTACATGAGCGTTTTTGGAAAAATGTCGATTGTTCCAGTCTGACGGGGTTGTTAGAGATAATAATATAGTTCTCTATCCCCACCAATAATTCTCCCACTCTGAGCGCATAATTAACTTATACTCTTGAACGACTTAAGACAGTCCACTGACAAGTTAGAAAATCTTCTAGTTTATAAGTTTAAAGTAATAACGATTTAATTCATATTTTTATATTTCTTTAATTTAGTATCTGTCGTTAAATTATATACCTACTACAATTGTAGTATATATAGGTAAAATAAATCACATAATATAAAAAAAAAAAAAAAAAAAAATGAAACCATGTTTTTCTGTTATGAAAAAATATTCACTAATAGAATAATAATATTATTTTATTAATAGTTTATAAGTGTTGAGCTGTTCAGTTCTGACATTGTATGTATGATATACATAAATTTAACATTAAATTTGTACTTTTAACTATAATAATAATTACGATTAACTATTGTCTGTTTATATAGGTACCATAAAGATATAACTATATGTAAATTATGTACGCATAGAATTAAACAGGGCTTCAATTACTGTAAATTATTCACATAACATACACAACAATATTAAATTTAATTATATGATTTAATAGTTGTTCATATGTTAATTACTTAAATGAATAATTATAAATATATGTATTATATTTTTAACACGCTTATAAGTAAAATTTTAAGTAGAGAACTATTTTTTAAACTTTTACCTTGATAACAATATAATATAGTTTTTGTAAAAAAATAAATAAGCAAGTTAGGTTTTGATGAATTTACTACTTTTGTTAACAATTCGGCATAATATATGAGTAATCGAAGTATACTGGTGTCAACAGCTATTAAACTTCAATTAATGCGTCTAGACGATTACCTGTATGGCTCCTTAGAAAATGTTGATTTACAACGATAGTAGTTTTAGAACTATCAAATCTTTTTAACAGGGATCTGGTGGTTCACAAATAACATTAACGTTGAAATATAACATTACAGTATAATTTATAGAAACACTATTCATTTTATATTATTTATAATAATCGAAAATAATTATATTAATGGATCATTAAAGTTAAATTAGTAATAACATAATGCGTATAATTTCACTAAAATAAAACGACAACAATTTAAATTACAAAATAAATTACAAAAAAAAAAAATAAAATAAAAATATTTTTACTTCACTTAAATTTAAAATCAAAACTTAACAAATCAAGTACATTCAATATAAATGTTTAATGATAACCTATACTATTATTAGATTTAGTAATGTTTATTAATATATTTAAAGTCATAAAACAATATCTATAACACTGAACAATAATGTGTAAATTATTTTTTCCCATTTTATGGGTAACTTTTTTTGAACTATTGAAGTACAGTATAGACTCGGTAATTCAGTTGTTTAATAATCGGGTATGACTAGTAATCCAGCTGTATTTTATGAAAATGGAGTAGATGCAAATGATATTTTGACGCTTATACGATTACAAGAAAAATTCTGAAAAGCATCATTTGAAACAAAAAAAATCAAAAACCAATCGAAGACTTTTTTTAAACCTGTCTCATCAAAAGATTAATTTACAGTATAAATATATGTAATAAATTAGTACCAAGGTATGTATGTATGTATGTATGTATGTATTCATGTACAGGGCCTGATTTAGTGAAATAGGGGCCCTGTGCACTATAAACTTTGGGGGCCTCTTTTAACAAAAAATGTAAAAAATAATAATAGGTACATATTTAACAATAAAAAGTTCAATTAATTTATTTAATTATAATAGACATTTTTTTCTTGTTTTTTTTTGCAAATTCAGCAATTATGTCATCAAATGTTAACTGTTTAGTAACATCATGGTTGATTGCCAGTAATGATAAAGAGTCCAGTTTTTCTTGTGTTAAAGTAGAGCGCATTCGATTTTTTATACGTTTGAGTACAGAGAATGAACGTTCACTACTACAATTCGTGCACGGCATTGATAAATATATTTGTAATATAATGTCCAAGTTGGGAAAAGTATGGCGAATATTCATTCTTCGAATATATTTCAAACAATAATGGGGATCTTGAAAAAAATTATTACCGAGAAATGACTTTTTCAACTCTTGAAACTGAATCAGTTCACATTCAAAATTATCAGAATCTAAATCATCTGAATATGTATCCAATATATTTTTAGAACATTTTTGTATTTCTGATCAGTCCATATCTTTAAAGAGAAAACCAAATTTTTTTTCTAATTCTTCATAAGCATTGTTTCTTTTTCTCAATTCAGTAATTAATTTGTCACATATTACATAATGAGTGTTGTAAATGAAATTTTCTTCGGCAGATAAATTTATAGCTGGATTATTTGGATCATCTAAACACTTACTTCTAGTATGTTGTTTTTTTCTTTTTGATGTATAATCAGGCAATAGATTTAAATTAATTGATTCCTTTTTATAGTTTTGAAAATTATTTCTTACGTCATTAATAAATGCAATTAATGAAGTATACAATGGAACAATAGAAGATAAATTTGTAGTGGATACTTGAATATCCATGCTAACTTTGTTAATTCTTTGAAGAATTTCATGCCAGATAATGGTCATGATACCAGTTTCCTTTTGTTTAAGCTTTGCGTAAAGTGTTTTGGCTTCATATTGCGTTGTTAAATTTTGATTATCATCACTATAAATGTTTGATAGTGCAGTCAATATTTCGTTATATCCCAACCGTAGAGCTTTAACTGCATTAGCGTCAGCTGACCAACGAGTGTTGGATGTTGATTTCAATGTTAATGGAGTTTTATTACATTTTAACTGATCATTTAATAAATCCCATCTGCGAGGAGATGAAGAAAAAAAAACATAAAGCGATTGTACCACTCCAAAATAATTTACAGCTTCTAAACAAGACTCAACTGCTGAAATACCAACCAAGTTTAGGGAATGAGCAGCACAGGGAACATATTCTGCTTTAGGAGAGAGTTGTTTAATTCGTGCTTGCAGCCCTGAATATTTTCCCGACATGTTTGACGCATTGTCATATGATTGCCCAATACAATTGTTGATGCTAATATTCAGTTCTTTTAAAAGAGAAACTATATGGGCTGTTAACGATTCTGAAGTATGGCTATATATATTTTGAAATTTAATAAATCGTTCTAATACTTCACCTTCTTCATTAACATATCTTAAGATATATGACAGTTGGTCAACATGAGCTATATCAGGCGTAGAGTCAACTATAAGGCCAAAATATTTTACTTTTTTAATTTCTGTCACAATATGGTTTAAAACTTTAGATGCCATTTGATCAACTATTTGTCGTACAGTAAATGAAGATATGTAATTTACATTTCCTGAGCCTTTATTTCCAAACTGAGAAAGATGATTTTCAAGGAAAGGATCAAATTTACTTATCAGTTCTAAAATACCAAGAAAATTGCCATTATGATCAGAATTCAGTTTCTCATCAACACCGAAAAATGGCAATCCTCGAATTGAAATAAATTTGATAGCTTCAATAACTCTTTTTAAAACATTTCTCCAATATTCGACTTCTTTATTGTGTTGTAATACTATTTCCTGATCAATTCGTTTCAAGGCGGATGCACGAATTGATAAAGTACATACAGCATTTCTATGTTCCATAGAGTTTTCATGTTCAGCAAGACGTTTTGAAATATGCACCCAATCATCTAAACCAGATTGGCAGAGCTGTTTTTTATCATTAGAATTAAAAAGTTTACAAACATAACAAAACAATTTTGCACACTCTTCTGAATATACTAGCCATTGTCTATTAATTTTTTGTTGGTTTTTAGTAGTATAATAAAAGTGAGAAGCATTAAGTGATCGCCAATTTCCATATAAAAACTTTTTTGAATTCTCAATTCTATCCATATTTTGCTTTGGAGGATTTAAAATAAAGTATTCTCTAAAACTGTCTTTTAAAATGTTCGGCCAGAGACTAATATTAGTCGAATATAAGCTATAGTCTTCATATTCTACATTAACACTATCAACTTCATCAACTATTAAAATATAAAATAAATGATAAGTAAAATAATAACAAATTTTATTTATAAAATAAAAAACATTTAAAAAAAGAACATAAAAATGTACGTTTAAAACACTAATAGCAAAACAATAATCCATACATGCACTACCTATTCAATAATAATAATACAAACCATACATGCACAATTCAATAACAATTATTATAATGCAAATTAAAGTGAACTTACATTTAATTGAGGCTGTTCTATTCTCATAACGTATAATAATTTATATTGCATTTGTATTTTTCAATAAACATATTCTATATGTCAATAAATTATATACACAAAAAGAAATCTATTAGTATTTAGTACACAACAATAATAATACAACTTCAAATAAACAAATAACGTGACAAACATTACACAATAACATACATTTAACCAAATATTATATTAGAATAATTGTGTTAGATAAATTATAAATTGTTAAAACACATTTTTATCATTCATAAGATACAATAACAAATAAAATAAAAACCATTAAGACAATTAAAGTAAAAATAATTAATCACAATACATGTATTTAATAAGATATGACAAGGAACATACATTTATTAGGTAATTTAATGGTAATTGGTTATGACAAGTATAGTATGTATGAGTTTTAGTTAACTTACAACTTGCTAATTTATTTTTATTTCCATTATTTGAATTATTAACAATGCCATCTCCAGTCTCGACAGTCTCATCAGGTTCACTAATATTTTCAACATTGACATCTATGATACCTATACCCAAAATTAAATACATTTACTAACATGTAATAGGTAGTTAACATATTAAATATAATAGACATATAAAGTAGTACACTCACAGGTATTTTTATTGTCATTTGCATCATCTGTTAGTGCTTCAGCTTCAGGATCATCGATACTGATCGATAAATCAAGATCTGCATAAATTATTATTTTTTGTTTATCTGTATACATAAACAGTTTGTTTATGAATCATGAAATATCATTATGATTACCTTCTGGTCCTTCTGTTTTATTTTTGGGCACCACAGTTTCAGAGGAAGAGCAGATAACAAATTTTGATAGTGAACCGCTTAACTTTTTGTTTTCTTCTTCACGTTTGTTTTTCAACTTTCTTTTCTCATATCCAGAAGCATATTTTCTTTTGGATGACATTATAAATAATAAATTACTACAATAAATCACAGACTTAAAAAAATTAAAATAAAGACAATAAAGTTACTTTATACTTGTAAATAGGTAATCATATTCACATTACACAAATGAAATATTTGGAATGATAACTGATAAGTGATAACACAATATTTCTATACAAGCAGGCGGCAGCTGCAGCTGCAAAATGTTGCAAATGTTTACTAGTTTTTGGTAAGTGGTTTTTATTGTTTATAGACATTACTAGCACCGGTGAAACTCGCTGTAAGTGAATACCCTAGGTCGGTGAAACTCGCTGTAAGTGAATACCCTAGGTCGGTGAAACTCGCTATATGTGAATACCCTAGGTCGGTGAAACTCGCTGTATGTGAATACCCTAGGTCGGTAAAACTCGCTGTATGTGAGTACCCTAGGTAGCTGAATATCGTTTGAAGTGAATTTCCTAGGTCGGTGACAGGAATTAAGAATACAGCAGTTAGAAAAGTCTAGTAGGCAAAACCAGTGATAACGACGTTTGACATGTTGGTACCTCTGATTTGGTGGCTCTACACTTTGGCGGTGTCGTTTTAAACGCGTAAATAATAAAAGTCTAATTCGAGCGTCTAGTGGTCGGTCATTTCATTAAATTCACAGGTGTAACACACCTTGTCCCGTAGCTTGCCCTGTGCTTTTGTGTATGGAGAAAATGAATAAATACATCAGGAAAACGGCAATTGAGTGTCTAGGTATCAGTCATCTCCAAGGTTGTTTGGGCAATTGGATGCATTTCCCGTGGTTTGCCCGGTACTTTTCACATATATTTAAAATAAACTCCGACTCCGAAAACGGTATTGAGGGTCTAGCTATCAGTCATCACCTGGTGTATGTTACATATTTTAACGCCAAAAGTGGTGTGCAGTCCGGTACGTAAAAAAGTATATGTCAGTTATCATCAATAAAAATTCAGATAAACGCATTTAAACCTGCCAGACAGGCAATCCGACCGCGTACAATGTTGGCGTAAAGGGGAAGTTGTACATGTATTAAGTATACAACGGGATAAATGCATTATAGGAAAGAAGAAGACATGCCAAACGTTAGAAAGGTGTGTATATATATATATATTATAGGTATATATACCTACACACGTAATTTTGCAATTATCATTGCTGTATATATGTATACATTTCTAATATGTAGTGAGTAAAGTATGTAGTGAGTAAAGTCCCAATCGGAAATTTACAACGGGCGTAACACTGCGCCCGTACTGGCTAAAATAAAGACAATAAGGATTGCTTTATACTTGTAAATAGGTATCATATTCACTTACACAAATGAAATATTTGAATGATACTGATAAGTGATAACACAATATTTCTATAAAGCAGGCGGCAGCTGCAGCTGCAAAATGTTACAA